TTCACCTTCTTCAGCGACTTATGGAGAAGTATAGAGACGCTCACAGGGATCTGCATTTGGTGTTCATTGACTTAGAAAATGCTTATGATAGGGTACCTCGAGAAGTTATTTGATGGGCCTTAACTAGAAAAGGCATATCATGTAAGTATATCAACATCATCATGGATATGTATGCGGATTATACTACAAGTGTCCGTACTAGTGTAGGGAGGACTGCAATGTTCCCTATTACTATCGGAGTGCACCAAAGATCGGCTCTGAGTCCTTTCTTATTTGCTATAGTCATGGATGAACTTACAAAGTCAAATCAAGACGAAATACCTTGGTGCATGATGTTTGCCGACGATATTGTATTGATTGATGAGACGCAATCAGGTCTTAAAGCAAAGTTGGAAGTATGGCGAGAAACATTGGAGAACAATGGTTTCATACTAAGTCAGAGCAAGACAGAGTATGTGCATGCTGCGTTGGATGTGTGGGCATACTAGAAAGGACCACGTGAGGAATGAGACAATCAGGCAAAGAGTGAGAGTAGTGCCTATTGAAGACAAAATGCGGGAGTCACGCCTACGGTGATTTGGTCATGTACGAAGAAGATCGAGTGATGCACCTGTCAGACAAGTTGAGATGTGTGGAGAAGAGGCAGAGAAGAGAGGGATAGGAAGACCCAAACAGACATGGATGGGTTAGGGGAGTCCGAAGTGATATGCTTCTTTTTGGGTGAGAAGAGGGTATGGCTTTGGAGAGAGTAAAGTGGAGGGCGGGTATTCGTGTGGATAAGTGATCTCGCATTATGTTTTCCCCTCATTTTTTTCTTTTTTTATTCTTTTATCCATATATATATATATAGGGTAAATCCAATGGCTGAGATTCATTCTCATTTCTCACATTAGATGCATTTCTCACCTGAACCAATATCTATGTGTGTGTGTGTGTATGTATGTATATAAACATTATTTTTATTCTTTTTATTTTATCATTTGTAGGTATATTCATTTCTTTTTATATTATCTTTTTTCATAATCGCTTATCTTTTTATCTTTATTTTCTTTCTTTTCCTTTTAGTGGTAATATCATATACCGATTCATGTTAACCGACCCCAATATCTTTTGAGACTAAGGTTTGATGTTGTTCTTGTGGTGGTGTACACATTAGTTCAAGGTCCTAACTCCGAACCAAACCCATCCCTTAATTTTTCGTAACATTATCATTTTTTCATATGACAATCTCATCTAATTGCTTTAATAAAAAGGTAATACTAGTAAGTAGTAAGTAACTTTATATCCGATTCATATTCCAATGGTTGTATACTTTTTATTTTTTGATCGTAATGGTTGTATACTTGTATAGCATATAGCCATATATATACTTGACGTTTTTGTCATCCTCATTTTTAATAATTAATTACTTATATTCCAATTATTTGCTCTAATAATTCTTTCGTTTCTAATGTGATAATTTTGGGTACGAACTATTCCCATTGGATAATTAAAAGAGATATGGAGTACTAGAGAAGAAGACATCAATCAGCTGTTGATGGTTTTTAACCACAGGTTTAACTTGTACAGGGATCATGTAAGAAGAAAATGCACTTGCAAACCAGGCCCCTAAAAAGGAATACTAAACAATGCCTATATATAACATGTAATAGATATAATTTTAACAATAATAAGCAAACAAAAATCACTAAGATCATAAATCCAAAAGAATCAAGGGGTCTGCACATTTGATGAGTCCTTGGATTTGTTCTCTTCAGAAGATGCTCGGTTTTCAGGGTCAGATTGCTGTACCTCTTCGACCATCCTAACAACATCATCCATGCTTGGCCTCATCTCCGGAACCTTCGCAACACACGCCATCGCAATCTGAAGCATTTGAACCATATCTTCTTCAACGTTTTGATACCTCAACAACTCCACATCAAACACTTCTGCGGTCCATTCTTCCCTCACCACCGACTGGACCCATTTTGGGAGATCAACCATGTCATCACGCCCCGGTGATTGGGTGGGCTGTTTCCCAGTGAGCATCTCTAGTAGCAAGACCCCAAAGCTATACACGTCTGACTTGTGTGTGTGCTTTCGAGTTTCGATCACCTCGGGGGCCCGGTACCCGGGATGCCTAGACCGGGCTGCCGGGGCATTCATCAGAGGAGCTAATCCGTAATCAGAGACGCGTGCATCTGAATCTTCTTGGTTGATGAGGACATTTGTGGATTTTATGTTTCCGTGAGTGAACTTTGGGCCACCTGTGGAATGGATATGGGCTATCCCCCTTGCAGCTGCCAGGGCTATTTTAACTCTGGTTTCCCAGTCCAAAGCAGTCCTCCCAGTGGCCTTATTTCCTATCAAGAAGATGGAATGCTGATTGTGTGATACTAGAAGAAATCATAATCACTATCCAGCCAGTGAACTAGCAAGAAGCCAAACAGTAGCAGAATGTAACATTTAAATAAAAAATTCACATATATAAAGGGGAGTTGCCCACTTGCACTACAACAATAAATTGCATACACAATCCCTTTTACTTTATGCAAAGCTAGATATGATTCACTAAAACCCCACCACCAAAAAGAAGTTTTGCCATTTGTTTTACTTCCACCTCAAAGCTTTGGGCTATGTATGGATCACGGTAAGTATTACGGAAAGAAAAGAAAATGCCAAGTAAATTATTTATGTTCTGATTTACCTTTTCAAATGTAAAGGATAATGAAATGATATATTTTTAAAAAGTCTTATCTAGGTATCTTGCTTCTTAGTCTATATATAATAGAAATATATAAATAAACAAAAAGAATTTGAACATATATCTAAAATAGTTTATTGAAATTAAGTTTATCATTTAACTTCCCCCAAGTTTTCTCTCCTCATTTCCGTATATATTCCATCATTTGCAATGGAGCCAAAGACTCACTATTTTTTGGCTTGAAAATATGATGGAATAAAGCAAAATGGCTCACTAAACTGTCTGCGCTTCTTTGTTATGAAGCTACAGTCAGTCCATGCTTCTTTGTTATGCTTTAGTGCAGGGGTAAGACTGCGTACATCCGACTCCCCCTTACCCCACCGTAGGTGGGAGCCTTTGCGGCACTTGGGTAATGATGATGATGATGATGATTTCCGTATCTATCTTACCTACTACCCAGTATTTTCTGAGTTCCAAACGGACCATTATAGTCAAGGGAAAGGATTCAGAAAATCATACCATGGAGGAGCATTGCCAAATTGCCTCTGGAGAAATAATCGCAGACTAGAAGCTTTTCATCCTTGGAGTAATAATAAGCACGCAGAGGAACAACGTTTGGATGCTGTCCAACTCTACCTATGATCTCCATCTGTTGTTCAAACTCCTTCTTCCCCACAATGACTTCTTTGAGTCTCTTGACAACTACAGTTATAGACTCCTCCAGAATAGCCTTGTATCCAGTCCCATAGCTCCCTTTCCCAAGCACTTCGGCCGATGCCCTCAATAAGTCCTCAAGATCAAAATTGTATGAGCATCCCTCAAAGAAAACCAACTTATTTTTCTCTGCCTCTTGCACCCCACTCCCAAATTCCTCGCTTGGTTTCTCACTCCTTCCCCCACCAGAAGGTTTCCCTTTTAGTACACCCCTACCCTCACTTTTTTTTCTATTCATGAGAATCAATAAAGCTACAAGAAATATCACTGCAGTCCCACAAGCTGCAACAGCGATAATAATAATAAATTTCTTCCTATGTCCGCGTTCTTTAGGACCATGTGGTAAATGGGCATTGGGAGGAGACAGCGGTGGTGGTCGAAGAGGCGAAGAACAGGGAGTTCTTAATGGCAATCCGCATAAGAAAGAGTTTCCTAGAAATGAAGACTTGGGAAACTTTTGAAGAGAGGACGGAATAGAGCCATTTAGATGGTTGTAACTTAAATTCAAATGTTTTAGCCTTGGAAGTGTAATATTAGGTATAGGTCCAGATAGGGAGTTATTTTGGAGGTTCAATGCAGTCAAGTGGGTCAAATTCTGAATCACTGAGGGAGGAATGGTACCACTGAAGGAATTATATGAAAGATCCAGAATGCTTAATTGCTTGGGAAAAGTTGGTATTTGTCCAGATAAGTTGTTATGTTGGAGGAAAAGGTTGCGAAGCGCAGGAAGTGAAGTAAGGTCAGAAGGAAGAGTTCCATATATGACATTGGATCTAAGACTGAGAACCCTTAAACCATTTAACTTTCCAAGGGTGTTTTGGGGGATTTCACCAGTGAGTCCAACTCCTGGAAGTCGAACTGTTACAACATGGGCCCCATCTCTGCTACAATTAATGCCAACCCATGATGAGCAGATGGGGATCCCAGAATTCCAGTTAATCTTCTGTCCGTGGTGAATAGAGGCAGCAAAGGCAAGAAGAGCTTCTTCGTCTGACTTTAGATCACCATGAGCCAGGGGTAGAATAGTTGTTGTAATGATAACAAATAGAAAGCATAGCAACTTGTAGGTGGACCACGCTTTCATTAGGAAAATCTGGTGTGTGAAACACTTTCCTGTAACGATGAAAATAATAGATTGATAATAGGTGTGAATAACATGAAATATATAACTAATAGACACAAGAAATGGAGAAGGAGAAAGCATTTACAAGAAAACCAGGGAATAGGATTGAGCCAGTGATCAGGTAGTGTATGGAGTTCATGTTAATCATTAGCATATTGATTTAAGTACTTAATTCTGTTGTTTATGTTAGGAGGGAAAAATAAGTGGGGATAATTCTCACTATGCGTGTCTATGTTAAAAAATGAGCGAGTGATCATAGTGTATTCTGGAATTCTGATGTTTTTTCTTTTCAAAGTGTTATTTTATTTGGCAAAGAACATTAATCGGAAACATAAATGTTAATGACTCAAAATACAGAATAAAAACATTGTTAGTAGAATTTGAAGAATAACTCTCTTTATGTCCCAAGATGTAAGACACATTTTGGTTTGACACCGATTTCAAGAAAATAAAGGATGAAGTTATTCTTTTATAATTGTAACCTCCAAAAAGAAAGAAAAATTAGTACGTGTCCACTTAAAATAAGAAAAAGCGCAACGACAGATAAAGAGATCAAGTATAAAAGTAAAAGTTAGTGGAGTTCAAATTAGAAGCCATATGTTTTGGACAGCCTCTAAAAATGTACTGTAAGTTACAAAATGGATCAGAGAGAGCCATAGTAATGTACAATAATTTCAATTTTAAACTTCTCTAGTTTCAAAACTACAAAAGTTGGGCCTATTCTCATGATTCCCTAAACATGTTGCCCAGAAAGCTTTCAAATCATACAAGAATTAAAGAACCAACGTCCAAATGCAAAACAACAACACAGAATGAAAAGGCAGAAGGAAATGCTTTTTCAACCACTTTTACACCAAAAAGGCATTAAAATGATTATTCCAAAGGTAAGTGGAATCAAATGCAACCCATAGAGAGTTGACATTCCTTAGGGGTTCATGTGAGATGTTTCAATTGATATAGTGCTCCACCATGCAATTTCAGAAGCAATAGAAAACAATTTTTCATGAATAATTGTCACTTTATCTGATCTACCCGAGTACCAAACAGACAAACACTCTACTCCAAAGACAGGTGCAATTTACAAGATAAACCTAGCAGAAAAGGGGGTGCATGATTGTCTTATTTCTTACCAAATTTCAAGCTAAATCCGGTTCAGATTGGGTAGGTAGGGCGTTGAACAACCAAATTTCAACCATTATTACTCATAGATATATACTCCAGATATAGAAAATCAAAAGAAGTCTACACATTATTAATTACGCCAAGCTCAAACGCAAGCAAACATCAATTGAAGTGAGTTTCCCACTTTTCCTCAGATCTGCAACTACCAAGCTTCCCGTACTTAAAAACGAGCCGAGGAAATAGGAAAACTTACAAACTAAGCTCCAGCGGAATATCCGGCAGAAGCAGTAATTACTAATTACCTGCTAGCATTTTGCAGAAAACGGAGCCGGTGCAAGCTCTACAACGAATGCTGAACTAGGAGGCCGAAATCCCTGCCGCGTAGCTCCGCCGCGTCGGAAATGTGAGCGAATTCCTTTCCATCCATGTGGAGCAACCTTCAACCGGCAGTTCCGATTTCCGACAGAACGGAAGCTCCAGAGCACCGACAGCAACAGCTCTGAGCTGAGAATCCTGGCTGAAGTTCAGATTCAGAGTGGCGCGTTATTCATGAGGACGAATTAGAGGGAGAAGTACAGAGAGAGAGAGAGAGGAGGTGGGTCTATGAGAGTGAAGAGCTCAGCTCACAGTATAGCTGGCTTGGCTTAGCTTCTTGCTTTAACTGGAAGAGAGAGAGAGGGAGAGAGAGTTGGTTAGCATAATAAATTGAAAGAAAAGCATGCTTTCCCCACTCGTCAGTTTCGTAAAAACAATAAAATCCCATGAAGCTTCTCGTTGACAAATCATGGAGAAAATAAGACATTAGAGTCGTCCTCCACCCTCACTTTGTGTCCGAAACTTGGCACCATTTGGTTTCTCCATTTCTCCCGCTTCCCCCCAAAAGAAGCATAATGTTGGGGAATTCTATAAACGGGACTAGACTATAAGGAAAATGATGTTTATACAGGTCAAATTGTACACGGCGTTTTTTATGTAGGTCAAATTGGTTGTGCATAAACAATTTTTTCGTTTGGTAAAGCGAATCCTTTTTCGCATCAACAAAAAAATATGTCTAACAAAAAAGTTGTATGTACGAAAAAACAATCATCTTCACAAAATGAAAAAAATGGTGTGTACAAACAATTTGATCGATGTGTAAAATGTCGCATACAACTAGCGTGTACACGAAGCATTATTGAGACTATAATCTTATACTATTGCATTATTACTTCAAATCATTAAGATTCACAATCTAAACTTAATTGCACAAATTTTAACAAAATGGGATTGTGTAGTCATCGTTGAATTTAAATGAGTGATTTCGTCAATAAAACAAACATAATATTTAATTAAATCATAAATTAGACAAAAGCGGTGACCGCCACACATCATAATGAGTTAATACAAGAGGCTTAGTAAAACAATGTTGAGCATTTTTGAAATAGTAAACAGTGATACTCAACAACAAACACAATTGTGAGAAAAATCACTAACTAAAAATGAAAATGTTTTTATTAAGGCCTAAGAACATGATCCCCACAATGTCCAAGTCGCTGATGCCAAAGAAAACCATAGACGGATTTAGTAATAAGGCCACATGTCGCGAGGGTAATGCAGAAATAGTGATGGGATAGACATGACCTCTACTATAAGCCTGAAGTAAACCATCACCGTTTGATTGTCCTTATCAACAAGATAATTTTTAGTGCAAACCACAATACAATAATTATCCACGCATAATTTATGAACCAAAATTAAAGTATATATATTAGTGGGAACATAACATTTTTTATTTCAAGGATGACTGAGGAAGATTTAAAGCAACATCACCCACACTTACAATGGATAAATTAGTACCATTGGCCACTTGAACACTATAAGTGGGTCGGTAAAGGGAGTCTAATGACTAAATATACCTGCATAAGAGGTCATACACACTAGCTCCGGAGTCAGGATACCAGACCGAGTCATGCGATTCACCAGTAGGTAAAGCACCTAAAACAGGTGTTGGTAGAGGAGTAAAGCACTAAAGCGGGGGTGACAAGAGATTGGCGAATGACTTGGACTAAAACAAATCTGACACACAATAAGGGGTGGTCGGAACTGAACCATATCCATATTCTCATGTAGAGAAGAACCTGCACTAAAAAAAATTAGGCCGAGAGATGGAGGAAAGATGAGTATCAAAATATGACTTACTCCATGAAACATATGCAATACTTGAGTTTCCCGAAATATGTCTGCCATGACCACCCTCTGATGCACCGTAAAGGAAGATATCATGTTGTCCATAAAAGCCAAGGCACGGTCACAAGTGCGGCCACCTCTGTCGCGAGCCCCCTGATTTCTGCCACCTCAAAATTGGTCATGTTGTTGCCCTTGCTGGTGAGACTGTCTACTGTCATGAGAGCCAGTCACAGTCCACTGCCATGAGAGTCAGTCACGAGGAATTTTTATCTAAATAATCTTTCGAAATGATCTCATCTCCCCAACCATAACCTAAAAAAAACTCTTCTACATCATCGAGATCATCCCCAAAAAATCTCATGGATGTGGATTCCCTAATAGATAAGATCATGATTGGACAATAGGAATTTTATGGGGGCAAGAGCGTCAGCCATAACTTTGATTTCTCGTGAATATTACTCCATAGTTTGATTCTCTTGCTTCTTCACATGAATAACATGTGTTTGAGCTCCGTGAAACGAGCAACAGTTTGAACCCTACCTTTTCATTTGATCTTCTTTAAAACTTCATGGTATAAGAGCTAGAAGATCCTTTCAAACTATTCTTACGAGCAAACTATTCACATGGTATCAAAGACCTAGGGTTTTAATTTTCTCATGTTGCCATGTACCCTACGTCGACCACATTCACCAAGACCATGTCATCGACCGATGTAACTCGCATGTCAAAAATGTAACGCATGTTCATAAAAAAAATGTAATTGCAAGCAAGTCGAAATGTGAGTTGTCTAATATGGAGGATAAGAAATAAAACATTGATTTCAATGTAAACAATGAAAAAGGAGTTTAATTGCTCAACTACTTTACGTAAATAGTGAATATGTTTTGTTTTTTATATCATGATTATAAAAATGATTAAATAATAATGTTTTGAAAAGATTTCAAAAACAGTTTCAAAAACAGCTTTATTTTATGATGTAACTCACATTATGGCAAATGTAACTCGCGTTTTAGATTGCATAACTTACGTGTATGCAAAATGTAAGTTGTTGAAGTAAATCCAAATGTAACTTGCACATCAGGTATTGTAACTTGCGCATAAAAAATGTAACTTGTGCATTAGAAGAGTTAGAAGATGTAACTCACGCATAAGAAGATGTAACTCGCACACGTGAAGATGCAAACCGCACAAAAGAAGATCTAACACCATATACTATCAAATGTAACTCCATAAATTGTCTATAAACATACCTCACACGCATGAAAAATGTAATCTCATGTTTTATTAAATTTAAATCAAAATCAACAAACTTAATATCTTAAAAACACTAAAAAATATAAAAGAGATAAGAAATATATTATAGACAAAAATGTCTGAATACGAAAAATATTTTACAAAAAATGTATAAATATTAAAAAATATTACAGAAAAAAATGGGTTGTAATTTCAGTTGAAGAAAAAAATAGTGTATGATTATGAAATACAATATAATTACTTTACGTGGTTTAATAATTTTTTGTAATAAATTGGTATAGAAAAACAAGTTACTTCAGTTGTAGTTTAGTTAGTCCAAATGTAATTAGCTAATTACATTTGTACATGTTGAGGTAAGTACAAATGTAACTTGCACATTTGAAAATGTAATTTGCTCATAATAAAATGTAACTCTCGCATGAGAAGATGTAACTCGCACACAAGAAGATGTAACTCGCACATAATAAAATGTAACTCGCGTATAAAAAGGTGTGACGTAACTTAGCTTACGCTTAAAAAGATGTAATTCGATATATTATCAAATGTAACTTCAAGAATCAAAATAAACAAACTCAATGTCTTAAGAAGCTCTAAAAACACATACAGAGTAATAGAGATTTAGAAAATATTATAGAAAAAGGTGTATGAATATTTAAAAAATATTGCATAAAAGTGTATGAATATAAAAATATTACAAGAATAAAAACAGTGCATGAATATGAAATAGAATATACTTATTTTATTTAACTCATTGCTAGCATCTTCAAGTTTTTCACTTTTTCTTGTAGCAACTTTGATTTCATTTTTTCCATTTACTTCTTCCGGTCAAAACATGGACACACCAAAATGCAGGGATGTGATTGCTGCTATAGGTGCCTGGACAGTCATGGGATGTAGTTTGGCGGAATGTGTGGGAGAACAAAAAAAGTGAGGGCGAATAAAATGAAATGATGTCGTTTTGGGAACGATACACCGTGTGCACGATGTAATGGTCTCATAATATAATTTTCCTTAAAAAATTGTTACTCCATTTTATTGGGAGTAAATAATATAGGATTAAGATCAGCTGAAAATATAGAAATAATACAGATTCCTAATATTAAAATAAAAATTATCACAAACAAAGTGAAAACTATACCAAACTGAAAAGTTCCTAAATACGGTTTGATATCTGGCACCTTGATAGATTAGGGAAAATAATGAACTTTTAATCAATTATAGAAAGACAAAGAAATCAATCAAAATAACAAAGGTTTTTCTTAACTTTGAATATTTCTCACATGCCATACTTTTTTATCACATTTCCTTTGATTTGTTTGCCCCAAATTGATACAAAATATCATATTAAGATGCATGCTATTAAAGAACTCATCCAAAGGTTAAGAAATTAACCGTATTGCAAAAAAAATATTTTCAGATTAATAGTTTTCTTCACCTAAACATTTTATCAAACAGGTTACACGCAAAATATTGAAAGCGCATATACCATAGAATATATGTTTAGTTGTATACAAATATATGTAGTTTTTATTTATTTATCAAGATGGACAAATAACACATGGATCAACAAAACAATACTCGTCATCTCTAACCACAAACATCATATTGTTTTAGACCTCAAATACTTAACTGGGAGAAAACTCATCATAGTTGAAACATTGTGACGGAGCATATCTTAAATTGTTAAAAATGAATAATTAATGTTAGACACTTTTATTTATGCGAAAATAACATCAATGCTAATCCAGGCACATGATAAGCCATTAAAAAGTTGTTTCTAAGCAGTCTTGTGTTCCAGAAATGTCATGGAACTTCAAAATGCACTTGACAATGAGAATTGATGCTAATGAGAATTCAGAAACATTTGAACAGGTTTCTTTATTGGCCTACACTTCCACAAAGTTCAAACATTGTATACTCGAACAAAGGAAAAACCTACTCAAATTATAACTCAATATGAAAATAGAGTGAATAGAATAAATCTACAATACGAGTTCATGCATTTGAAAGAAACACATGACCATAATGGCATAATACTAGTCTCAAGCTCTCGGTTTTTATCCTTGGATTTTAAGGGTTCTCATATCCTTGTAAACTTGTAATGTTGTTTTTTTAAAAGATCACCTGAACACTTTCAGACACCATAAATAAGAGCAAGGAGGTTAAGAAGATAAACATACACTTCATGATAGATAAGCATTACACTTCTTGCTTTTTTTTGTTGAAAATATCATTTAAACATTTCATCGAATACCACACATGCAGAAAGTAATTTGGGAATATGACTCCTATTCCAGCCCATTCAATCTCAATATCATGCAAGAATGATATAATTAGAGATGTGAAATATAATGTAAAATAAAAATGAACATAGGATGTCAAGTTTTCGTGCTTACCACAAAAATGTAAAAGAGTGGAAGATAGTATTTGGAAATAACCCTTCAAAATACTCCATATAAGAATATACAATGAATGATTTCTATTTTCATATACA